GACATGAGACAAAGTATATGTGAACTGCTGTATGAAAAGTGAATTTACTCTGTAAATCTTCACCCAAATCAAAATAAAATTTTAAAAAAAAGCAGGTAAGCAGCCTCCTCCCTGGGTGAGACAAAAGTGCTTGGCTGCTAACTGAAAGGTTGAAGGTTTGAGTCTCACCGAGGTGGCTCAGAAGAAATCCTGGCAGTCTGCTTCCAAAAAAAAAACAGCCATTGGAAACCCTTTGGAGCACAGTTCTACTTTGACACACATGTGGTCACCATGAGTCAGAGTTGACACCACAGCAACTGGTTTTTTGGTTTTACAGGACCCTGCTTTCTCAAAGCCCCTTTCTTCCTAAGCATGTAAGGATCCTTTCTATTCAGCTGAAGACCCTACCTCTGCAGGTGAGGAGAGCCTTTATGCCAGGTGAGTTACTTTTTTATACAGGTGAAATCCCTTACTACCCAGGTGAGGCCCCTGTCAATGAAGGTGTTCTGTGATACATATCATAGCCAGGTTTTCAATCCTGACTATAAAGCCTTCCAAAAATGCTCCTGTGGTCATAACCCACCTTACCTAAATGTTTAATGGCAAACATGTTAGTGATTATATTTTCAAAGGAATAGACATACTTTTGAGTATAATTTGGTTTTAATTTTTTAAATGTCTTTCCAGAATCTTCAAATATGCAGGCATTAGGGCCTCAGCCTCCCAAGGTTCTGATTCAATAATTGCTATGAGGCTGAGGCATCTGTAATTTTTTTTTTTTTTTAAATTTCTACAAACGATCTGGATTTCTTTTGGCATATTACAGTTGTTTGGAGTACACAGAGACTGTCTTCATTAAATCAAGGATTGTGATGGGGGTCATAGATGGGGTCACGTAGGTGATCATTACTAGCAGATAGTCAAGGGGGGTGAGGGCAGAGCATTTTTCTTGCAAAAGATGGGTCCTGTGACAGCTCCCTGAATGGCTCAGTGCTCTTATGCAGCTTGGTGTTATACATCTTCTGTCCTTTATCACAAGACCCCTTCCTGGTGAGTGTCTCCCTCCTCAACCCACAGTCTCTGGCTCTGACCTGTCCCCATTGCTGGGCCACTCACCGTGATCACTTTGTTTTCTAGATCCGCTCCTCCTGCCAAGCTGAATCCAAGGCCAGCCCCTTCCTCCTTGTGCAAGATGGTCACATGGATGCTGTCTAATTGCTGTAGAAGAAAAAAATGTTGAGTGTGTGTTTCTCTCTGTGTGTGTGTGTGTGTGTGTGTGTGTTTAACATCTTACTGCAACAGTGTGAACAATTCAAAAGATATTTTAAAGTCAGATTGATTTGATCTCAAATCCCAAACTGGCCATGCTTAAACTATGTCACCTCCTCAAACTTCAGTTTCATCATTTATAGAGGAAGGACTATACTTTTAGGATTTATGAGAAGCTGAGAAGAAGTACTTGCATGTATATCAGCAAACATTGTTGTTTTCCTCTCATACTTATTCTGTTCTCACCACACTCCTATAGACTGGCAGTACTAAGAGTCACATTAAAAAACCAAACTCACTGCCATCAAGTCAATTCTGACTCATAGCGACCCCCTTTGGGTTTCTGAGGCGGTAAATCATTACAGAAGTAAATTGCCCAGTCTTCCTTTTGTGAAGTGGCTGGTGGGGTTGAACCACCAACCTTCTGGTTACCAGTCAAATATCTTAGGCACTATACCACCAGAGCTCCTTAAGAATCACATAGTCATGTGGAAACCCAGTGTTTGAGAGAATGCATCTTTACCATCTTTACCATTTCTGACTTTGGTGGGATGAGGTAAAATTGTAGGACTTTGGGCTTACAGAGCCAGGGGGTCAGCACTGTTTTGGAGGAGTCAGTGGCTCCTTCTCTCTCCCTACTCATTCCAGAAAGCCCAGCTGACATCTTGCCTGGACATACACTGATGAACACACACACCACATAGTACATCCAGCCTGACAGCTCTCTGCTTATCTAGAGTCAGAAACTCTCACTCCAGTTGAGAGCTGGAATCTCCAACTGAAATACCCACAGGGGTCAGGAAGATAGCTTCAATGAGAAAAATGGGCAGATGTAAGACACTTGGAGTGATGGGAACTTCAGAGAACACCTCTCCTGCTCAGAAGGGACAGCTGCCACATAGGAATGCAATGCTACCAGATGGTTCCCTTTAAAAAGAGAGAAATTAGAAATCCAGGTTTTGATTCAGGTTTTATAATGTTAGAACAGGGCTTTGATCTAGTTCATTCTGGTTCAACCCCCTACTGAGAATTTGTTTTTTTTCTACCCCAGATACACTGAATTGTAATCTACATTTTCACAAGATCCCCAGGTGTTTCTTACAGATCCCCAGGTGATTCTTAAGTATACATAAGATACTTATCCAGACAATATACTCATGTATGCATAAGAGTCACCTGGGAATCTTGTGAAAATGTGCATTCTGATTCAGTGTATCTGTAGTGGAAATGTTAATTCTTAGCAGAGGGGTCAAACCAGAATAAACCAATTCAAAAGCCTGGTTTATAAATAGATAATAATAATTAAAACAAAACATGCAAACCAAATAAATACATCTGCAGGCCCTTGTGGCTCTCGGGCCACCAGTTTGCACCTTGGCTCTAGGGAATAAATTTAAGTCAAAAAGTTCATTTTCTCAGGTCTCATCACATCACCCAGGTAGTTCTGAGATCCTTTGCTTTGGAGTCCCCAAGACTCAGAGAGAGGAATGTACTTCACCCCCCTGCCCCATCCTAGCACTAGCTCAAATCTCCCAACCTATACTCAAGCATCAGGTTACTTATCCTGTAGGAGACTCTTGTTAAGTTTAAAAGCAACTGCTCTCCAAATAAAACTGTAGGCTCTTGGTTATTGAAGTGACACTTTTGCCTCCATTATTTCACTCAAGCTGAATAAGTGCCTGGGGGTTATGAGCCCAGTGTACAAGTGAGAAGAGCCACAGAGAAGGAAGGGCTCCCAGGGACATCTTGTGTCCATGAAACTTTACCACATCCTTCATGTGAGGATTCCAGCTACCATACCTCTTAGTGTAGAAACAGAGGGTCTCCTTGTGTTTTCACCTCAGCCTGCATGATCCAGGTACAAAAAGCTTGTGTGGATCTAAGAAGCCCAAGGGGTACAAGGCCCATGAGCCTATGCTCTTCTGAGTTTTGGGCCCCAGCTCTGCCCAGCTGCTTCCTCTCCACGCGATTTTGGGTCACGCTCAGAAACCGTATAGGAAGTGAGACTTTCAGAATGACTTTGCTGAAACACCGGAGCCCCTGAGATCTGGGAACAGTCACCTCAGTGTGCCACCAAAATAATAAAAGCACTGGGGTGAGAGCTCTCACAACCCACAGTGTTCACAATCAACAGTGTGTGCTCCCATACCATAGCTCGCTGGAGACTCACATCAGGCTGGCAGGCCAGAGGCAATGGAAATAGCACTAAACCTGCAGACAGAAAACCTAGACTATGTGACCAGACACACTGGTCCCTGAGCCTCACCTTTCTCATTTATAAAATAGTTTAAAAGATGCAATAAGACAATGTGTTGAAAGCCATAAAAAGCAAATATAAGCAAATGAAAACGTAATAAAGAGCTCCCTTCAAATACAAGATCTTAATGTGGCCAAAGGTCATAATCTCTCCCTACCATAGGCAGGACATATCCTAGGTGTGGTGTGAGCTCCTGGAAGCTGCCTCCTTCATACTCAAAGAGCCCAAGGCTACTCAAATTGTTTCCCACTGGCCCCATGGATGTGACCACAGAGCCCATATTCAAGCATTTGTCCCTGGCAAATGCTTACAAAGGAAGTCTACCTTTAATGTCGCTTCATCCAGAACCTTCACTTCCTCTATGAGCTTCTTCAGTTCCTCTGAGCTCAGCAGAGAGATAACAGATTGGCCAGACTGAAGGGAACAGTGGTTGCAGTCATCGGCTTCCTTGGGCTCTGTCAGGCCCTCTGTATATTCTCTCAGCTCTGAAAGGCTTTCATAGGGAAAAACATCACATAGTACAAACACAAATATTAACAAAAACTCATATTTATTGCAAAATTATTCTTGGAATGGTGCTCAGCACTTAAGTGTTTTCTATTATTTGATGCCCAAACCTCCAAGTAGATACTAACATCCATCTACTATGGAAATGAGAAACTGGGGCTTAGAGTGAATAGCTTACCTATGACCACACAGCTATGAAATGCTAAGATTTATAATTCAAAATTACAAATTATTGTGGGTCCAACTCAAAAGTCTGTGTTCTATACCTCAGAACTTCACTACGAAGGGCATCTAATGCTTTGGATACTAATGCCACCAACATTCGTCTGTCCATTTGTTATATTGTAGGGACTAGCTTGCTACTGTGGTGCTGAAAGCTATGCCACTGGTATTTCAAATACCAATAGAGTAAACCCTGGTGGACAGGTTTCATCAGAGCTTCTAGACTAAGATGAGAAAGACTTGGTGACCTACTTCCAAAAATTAGCCAATGAAAACCCTATGGAGAACTGTGAATAGTGTCCAATATTGTGCTGAAGATGAGCTCCTAGGCTGGAAGGCACTCCGAACACATAGTGGCCACAGCAAGGGACTCAAACACACCAACTATTATGAAGATGACTCAGGACTAGGCAATGTTTTGTTCTGCTGTACATGGATCACCATGAGTTGGAGTCAATTCAGTGGCTACTAATAACAAGCACTAATGCCATAGCTTAGTGCCTAAGGCATTTAACTGCTAACCAGAAGGCTGGTGGTTCAAACCCACCAGCCACTCCTCAGAAGGAAGATGGGGCAATCTACTTCCATAGTGAGACTGCCTTGGAAACCCAAGGAGGGGTTGCCATGAGTTGGGTCTGACTTGACAGCACATAACAACAACAACAATGCCATCCAAGCTTGGCATCAAGTGTATACCTTTGCCACTGAGGCAGATGCCCTTTCAGATACACTCTTACCTCTGGCATCTTTCACAGATGTCATCCCCCAGCAACTATAAATGGTGTCCCCTTTGCTTATACCTGGTCTTCTTTTACCTGTAAACTCATCTTGCCACGTCATTGTTATCTGTCATCAAGTCAGCCCCCAACTCACGAAAACCCCATGCACAATGGAATGAAACACTGCCTGGTCCTGCACTGTCCCCACGATCAATTGCAGATTGGACCACTGTGGTCCATCAGGTTTTCACTGACTGAGTTTTGAAGTAGTTTGACAGGTCTTTCTTCCTAGTCCATCTTAGTCTGGAAGCTCTGTTGAAACCTGTTCAGTATCATAGCAACACACAAACCTCCACTGGCACACAGAAAGTGGCTGTGCATAAGATGACTTGACTGGAAATGAAACCTAAATCTCCCACACAGAAGGCAAGAACTCTACCATTGAACAACTGATACCCTCCATCTTGATATAGTAGCTATTTTTTCCAGCTACATTTCATATTTTGCGTGAAAGTGTGGTTTCAGTAATAACAAATTATTCCTCTCTCTCTGATTGATAGGTGTTTAATGCTAAAAGGTGGAGGAAGTCCCCACAGCAATAAATTCTAGTGGTGAATTTCCCAGTTTCAACCATAGAAATGGCTCTCAGTCAAAAAGCATAATCAACTAATGGTGACCCCAAGTCTGCTAGAGTAGAACCACACTCCATATACTGTGACCTTTTGGAAGAAGATCACCCAGTTTGTCTGCTGAGATGCCTCTGGGTAAGTTTGAACCACCAATGTTTTGGCTAGTACTTGAGTGCTTACCCCTTTGCACCACCCAGGGACTCCTCTTAGACTGGACATATAAAAGAACATGTGAAAAAACACACATGTAAAAGAACTAGTGAAGCAATGCTTAACTAAAATATCTGATAATTTTTTTAAAAAAAGATGTATTTTAAAAAATCCACTAAACTCATTGACATCAAATTGATTCCTACTCTGCAACCCTATAAAACAGAGTAGAACTGACCAATAGGGTCTCCAAGGCTATATAAATCCTTATGGAAACAGATTGTCACAGCTCTCTCCCATGGAACAACTGGTGGGGTCAAACTGCAGCTCTTAACCACTGCACCAACAGAGACAGCCTTCAGGTCTGGAACTGACCTCACCCCCAAGACTCAACTTTCAGCCAAACAATAACACCAGGGACGTAAGCACTCCTTAGAACAATCAATCATGCAAGATTAAAAGGGTTGGGAGCTCTGGTAGCATAGTGCCTAAGGCACTTGACTGCTCACCAGAAAGCTGGCAGTTCAAACCTACCAGTCACTCCTCGGAAGGAAGGTTTGGGCAATCCTACTTCCGTAGTGACACTGCCTCAGAAACCCAAGGAGGGGTCGCTATAAGTTGGGGCCGACTCGACGGCAAACAACAACAACAACAACGGTGTAGTGGTTAAAGCATTCAGCTGTTAACCAAAAGGTCAGTGGTTTGAATCCACCAGCTGCTTCACAGGAGAAAGATGAGGCAGTCTGCTTCCAAAAGATTTACAGTCTTGGAAACCCTGTGGGGCAGTTCTACTCTGTCCTATAAGGTCGCTGTGCATTGGAATTGACTCAACAGTAATGGGTTTGTTTTTTCTTGGAAAGCTTAGTAGGTAAAAACGAATAGGAAGGAAGGATGAATAGAAACAGCAGACATAGGGAGGACGTAGGAAGAGTGCTGTTACATTGGCAGAATTGCAATCAATGTCACAAAACAAAATATGTATGAATTGTTAAATGGAAAATCAATTCATTCTGTAAACTTTGACCCAAATCACAATTAAAAAGTTGTTTTTATTTTAAAAAGAAAGATATCTAGGATTATAAAAGAAAGGAAAATGAGAATGACAAAGAAACCCTGGGTGAAGACACTCACTTGAGTGAGAATCCTGTGTCTGAGGCAGATGTTTCAGTAGAAGTATTTGCTGGTGGGTCTTCGTTGGATGATGGCATGGGAGATGCCCCTTCCTTGGGGATACAGGGAGTCTGGCCACAGGAGACTGAAGAAGGAAGGCATAGCAAGGATTTCATGACAGCTGATGACACTTGGCTGCTGATGGAGTAGAGTTTACTGGTCTTTTCGTCTGGTGGCCTCACCTCACAGGACTGAGTTCTGGTCAGAGGGAAGCTCCGTGCCCGTTGGCCTGGCATCTTGACAATGGGGACTTGCGATTCCTCAGTCTGTACTGATAGCAGCCTCAGGAGGGGGTCTGGGTCAGTGGGGAGGGTCTTCTGAGTGGGCTGCAGCCCAGGGGGAGGGGACACAGACACGCCTGGGTCATTGGCCTCTGAGGCCACAGGGGGACCTGGTGGCAGCTGCTCTTTCTCCGACCGCTGTTGCTCAACAGTGGATGGAGGCCCTTGAACAAAAACACCAGAAACCCGTCCTCCCTCTTGCTTTTCAGAAGGTTTTGCTGCCTGTCCAAGTGGGGACTGGAGGCTCAGTCTCTGGGCTCCTCTATCAGGAAGTTGAGAGGAGCCAAAAGTTTCAAAAGAGCTGATTCTCTGCTTGATGGAGGAGGAGGCCCGCAAGTGTAGCCCAGGGTGCTCCCTGGGTGTGGGTGTTGGCTGGGTGGAAGAGGCTGCACTGAGTAGCCTTTTGGGGTCTGGAGCACGATTCCGCAAACCTTTCAAGCTTTGACGAAACCAGGCTGGCTTGGGGGCCACCGGAGGACCCTTCTTCACAGTGCTGTTGTCTGTTGTCTTGTACACTTTGGAAGTACTATTGGCAGTGTCCAGTTTTGATGAGGTGCCATCCGGATGGCCCTGTGTCCTGTCTTCACCCAAGGGAACACTGGGCTGTAGTGGCATGTGGCCATGATTCTCACTCATGATAGGGCTAAATAAGTTTTTGATGCAGTCAGAAATTCTAACCCAAGGGTCTTCAGCTGTAGCGTCAAGGCTATAGTCCATCCGAGCCTGCCTCTTAAGCAGTGGGTGTTTTATTGGGGATGTTTGATGCACTAGGGAGCAGAAACAAGGCAAAAGCTATGATTAAACCTTATGGTGATTTTGTTTCCTAAATTCTAGTTCAAAGTTGAATAGCAGGAAAGACAATAGAGAAGGACATTAGAAGTGGTGGGTCCCTAGTTGGGATATCCCAGGTGCTATTACCTGACTGAAGTGCCAACAAATAGGATAAAAGAACCAGAGGTGAGAGTTAACTTCATAGCATCCTGGAGTTTTAGAGCTGGAAGGGTTTTCAGGGAATTATCTGGCCGAATCTCTGGCATTTTACAATTGCAGAATTCAATGGTCAAGAAGAGTAAAAGGCTGGCTGATGGCGGAGTCAGGGCTAGACCTCAGGTCTCCTCACTCCCCACTTTCACATTCTTCAACTGCATTATAGTAACCTCCCAAGTAACAAAAGCAGTTCTCTTACCTTTTAACTTTTAAGCCAAACCCATTGCCATCAAGTCAATCCCAACTCATATTATGCTATAGGGTAGAGTAGAACTACCCCGTAGGGCTTCCAAGGCTGTAACCTTTACAGAACAGACTGCCACATCTTTCTTCTGCAGAGCTACTGGTGGGTTTGAATCGCCAACCTTTTGGCTAGCAGCTAAGCACTTTAATCACTATGCCAACAAGGTGCCTTTAAAGGGCTTACCAGAAGATTACAAAAGAAAAAAGCTCTATGACAGTGATTCTCAACCTTGGATACACACTGGAATCTGGGGAGCTTTAAAAATATTGGGTCCCAGCTACCCAGAGCAACCGAGTAGTTGATCCTGCGGGCTTGGGACCATAGTCGCAGGGGACATCAAGCTCAATTGGCATAACATACTATACAAAACATTGTTCCACCTCCTACTTTGGCGAGTAGCAACTGGGATCTTAAAAGCTAGCAAGCTGCCATCTAGATGCAACGATGGGTCTCTCCTTGTCAAAAAGAAGAAAATCAAAATTAATGGAAACAATCAGTCCTAGCGACTGGTACACCATCCAATCTGCAACCTATACAACTATAAGACCAGAAGAACTAGATGGTGCCCGGCTACCACTGTCATCCACTTGGAAGGGACGTAGGAGATCCTGCATAGAGAGGGAGAACAATGTGGAACAAAACTCAAAATCATTTGGAGGCAAAAAAAAAGAAGAAGAAGGTGGGGACCAGGTTTGCTGGTTCAATAGAGCCTGGTGGAACCACTGAGACTATGGCCCCTAGCTGCCCTGCAGGTCTAGAATTGAAGCCACACCTGTGGTTTCCAGCCAAACAAAGTACAGGCATGTGAATTAAACATTTACCTCAAGTAGACACAAGCCCTGGAGAGAACAATCATGGGAGAAGGAAGGGCTGCTTATGCACAGGGAGACAGCTCAGGGCGCAGAAGAGTATGGAGGGATGGACACTGGGAAGAGGTAACTATGGGGAGGAAGTGGGAGGGGAGCTGTTGCATTGTGATTTTTTTTGGTTGATGTGAGACAAAGTATATTATGTGAACTGCTGTATGAAAAGTGAATTTACTCTGTAAATCTTCACCCAAATCAAAATAAAATTAAAAAAATATATATATTGGCTCCCACATGCAAGATTATGATTTAAATCACCCAGGGTCCAGCCTGGGCCTTAGGCATTTGAGAAGCTCTACTGGCGACTGTAATATGTATCCTATTCTATGAGGCTGCCAGGACTCACTGGCAACCCTTCACTGCAGGGGGCAGCACCTGAGGGTCTTTCTTGGAGGCCAACATTGAACCCCTGTCCCATCTGAATGGGTAGTGGAGACTGTGCCTTGACTCTCTTTCCCAGAGACAGAGCAAGGCAGCCCTGACCTTGGAACAACCAAGAATCCAAGTCGATGTGTGGCTCTGTCATGGTCCCCAGGTCTGACCTTTCCCTAGTTAAGAGTACGTTGCTCTGGCTATGGATATTGGAAGATGTTCAGTACAGCAATGCAACCCAGTTTAAGAAAGACTGATCTTCTTGTCTTGAACTGCAGAGATATAAAAGAGAAGCTCTGTACCATGCAAGACTTGGATAGTTATCACCCTTTCCAGCCCTTTGGCAAGTGAGTCTGTTCCTGCATTTATAAAATGTTCTGCTTCAAAGGGCTATTGTGAGAACCAGGAGCCAGAGATTCTAAAGGGAAGCCCTTTGTAAACTGGGGTGAGGAGTCCTTGTCAGTAGAAAACCAAGGCATCCTCTAGTGCATTGCTCAACTCTTATTAGGAAGGACCAATCCCTGGAGAACGACATCGTGCTTGGTAAAGTGGAGGGTCAGCGAAAAAGAGGAAGTCCCTCAACGAGGTGGATTGACACAGTGGCTGCACCAGTGGGCTCAAACATAGCAACAATCATGAGGATGGTACGGGACAGGGCAGTGGTTCATTTTGTTGTACTATGAGTCAGAATTGACTCGATGGCACCTAACAACAATAACGAGGGCAGACAGAGTGGAGAAAGAGAAGCCTCCATTAGCTGGGTACCTGCTGTGGGTGAAATGCACCAGACCTTTCTATTCATGATGTCACTTAGCCCTCCAGGAGTTGTTTGTGTGCTTTTTATGTAGCATTCCTCAAACTGACATATGATTTGTAGCCCAAATGTTTATTTCTCTGCCTCTACTGTGAGGTCTTTGATGTCAGATGTTCATTCTCTCTCTCTCCAACACTTGACATAATACCTCCCAAAGCCAACATTCAATATGTGCTTGCTGTGGTTCTATGTGATTTTCCATACCTTGCTCATGAGTGAATTGAGGCTTAGAAGGTAAAGTAAGTTGCCCGAATCACACAGTTAATAAAAGAGTCAGATTTACTATCCTGGTCTTCCTGACTCCAAATCCTATGCCCCTTCTACCAAACCACTAAACATTCAACTCATGTCTTAGCATTTCTGGATGTACCATCTGGACTCATCACCAAGAAAATGCTCTTCATGATTTCCTGACATAGTATTCTCAGACTTGGAAATGATGAATGCAACATGCTAGAAGCAGCTTCCCAGGATGGTGGCTGAGAGTAAATTTGGACATCTCCCCAAGGGCTCCATCCTCCAGTTGACTTGCTGGGTTGAACTGTATTCCCATTAAAAGATCACAATCCCCCTATTGCCACCACCATAGCATCACAGACCCCACCATCACAGTCCCTGATAGTACCTCTCTTGTTGTGCGTGCTGCCCACAGCCTCTGGGGATCACTGACTGCTCCTCAGCCTAACCAGCTTGTCAGTGCAGAGCACCTCAGTCCTCAGGCCAAACTCACATTCTTACCTTACCCCTGGACCTTTATCCAGAGGTCTTTGTTCTGGAAGATCTAAATGAACGCCTACCTGGACTGGTTTTCTTTCCTGGCTCACCGTCTGTGGAGGCTGTAGTCTGCAAGGTGGCTCCGGGTCCTGGGCAGCAGGCAAGGGTGCAGGGGGTTCCCCCTGCTGCACCTTCCTGCAGTGGCTGAGGTGGCAGCAGCTCTCTGGCTTCCTGTGGTGTAAACAGGAAGCAAGACCATGTCAAAAACGGTAGCCTTCAGCTGTGAAAAGGCAAGGTGCATTTTGATTGGAGCTGGAGGGCGGATATGAAGCCACTTGTATGAGAAGTTCATTAACAGCATTGTGAAGAAAGTCCTTTCCTTCATGCCCTGCCATGGGGAGTCAGCACCGCCTGGAGGCCCAGAACATCCCTTTACTTCCAACAGCTCATGTTCAGAACACAGGCTTTCACTGTAGGAATATGTGAAGATTCTTGGCTCTTCGTGACGGGGAGAAGAGACTTGGGTGGATGTTGTACAAGAGGCTTTGGTGGGGGGGGGGGTGTTGTTAGGGACTAGCATAGTTTTATTTACATCTGAATCCTGGCAAACTAACCTCCAGGAGGGCACAAGAGAAAAGTCAAAACCAGAGGCAAAGAGAGTTCCATCTAGTCTTTACTAAACTCAGATTGGAACACTCAGAGGAAAATTATATCAATAGAAAATAATGTCAAAGTTGTTATTCAATATTCAGTTAGCATGCTGCAAAGAATGACACATATTTAGCACCTGTGTCATTGCCTGCCTTTGAAACACCCAGAATGCCATTATCAATATAATGCAGAATTGTAGTCAACTCCCCTGAACCTGAATGCAGTCTCAGGGTCCTTCATAAAACCACCTAGAAAAGAGATAGACCAGATACCAAATGGTTGTATAATATTCTGATAGAGCTTGGATTATAATACAGCATGAATCAGATGTTCTTGGAGTCTGGAAGAAGGAGGGAGCTCCAGTTCTATACACAGAGGGGTGGAGAAGGCTTCCCTAGAGAAGTGCTTTTTGTGTAGTTCTTGAATGAAGAGTAAGAATCTTCCAGGCACAGAGGTAGAAGAAGAGCATTTCGGACACATGTGCACACTCACAGAGGCAGGAATAAGCATGATACCTACTCAGAAAGAAAGCATGAGAAGGCAAATATCAGCAAAATCGCCTTCCTATATCTGATCTTCTGCAAGAGACATACTTTCCTGTGCTGTGGTTGATTCCATTTGCATTCAGTTCAGAGGCAGATACAATGATGGGCTTTTTTACAAGGCTGCAGGCTTCCTTCCAGAAAAGGAAGGAAGGAGTAACAAAGCAGCACTGGAGACAAAATAGAAATGCCAGGTGTCCTTGGTCTGAGATTCAATATCTACATTGTCAGGAAGCATTCCCTGGAAATGAAAGATCTTCAAAAGTTAGAAATGTGTTCATAACACATTTACAAGTGTCCCCTACCTCTGCCCAGGTTTGCTATTATAAAACTGAACTTTAGAAGGAGCATTTTGGAATTACAAAGAGATTAACCAACTCAAAGGAATTGTTGGACTTTTGGTGATAGTCCTTTGAAAACCAAAGCATAGCCTAAGACTTAGAAACCTAATATACCAGGTTGATGGTTGATAGTATCCAAGACTCTCATCATACAGAAAAAAATAAAAATGACATATGGCTCAAGTTTGATTGAGCTATAAGATGACATCTGTCTCCCATCCATGGATCATTAACACTTTTATAGTTAACACTTTTATAGGCAGGCACCCTGGGTACTGAGCAAGTAGTCAATGCAACATAGCACTTTGGAACAGACACAAATGTATTTCCTTTTAGTCAACACAACTGATGTTGCATCCTTGTCATAGAAGGCTGTTTTAAACTTGTCACTAAAACAAATTTGGTTTTGCTTGAATTTTTCTCTGAATAGTATTTCCTGGCACTGTGTTTGGTGGATGAAGGGGAGAGAAGAGAACGGAAAGAAAAGGGGAACAGAGATGTGGATAGAAAGACAGACAGACACAGCGAAACCTGTGACAGGCAGAACTTGACATCACTGCCTTGTTATTCCAAGTCTTGGAAGTTTTCCACCTTTGACAAGGTGCAGTCTTACCACTTTTCTATTGCTCCTTTTAGTAGAAAATATTTTATTTTCCACCCTTGCCCAGGTTCCAGCTTTCACAGGTTTGCTACAGATAGGTAGACAGACAGGTAGATAGGTGGAGAAAGAGAGTGATTGACTGATCTTACAGCATGGTAATACATTGCATTCAAGGAGAAAAATGCCCAATGAGCAATTCCCAGGAATGGCCAAGGAAATTTTAAAACAGTGATGTCAAGCAAACTGCTTCCTTTTTTCTGTTGCGCAGAATCCTTTGTGACCTTGAGTGCCCAGTACAAGTATCTTGTGTAGGTTGTGCTTTCTAGAAAACACAGTAGGAGAAAGGTCCATTGGCCACGTGGGCTAAAACCTATGGGCAGAAGAGAGCAGCTTCTGCACAGCCTTGGAGCAGCAGTGGTTAACTGATGCAAGAGAATTAGTGGATTCAGACAGGGCAGGTGCTAAAATGAGGCAAAGCTGCATGTGAGGAAGATCTGCTGTATAGATGTTCCTTGCCTGACCTTCCCAGTAGAAACCCCACTTCCTCCTCTAGCCCCTCACTTTGGGATATACCCTACCCTATATATGGCTCAGCTTGGCTGGGCAGCACACATTCATCACCCATGAGTGAAGGCCCATGGGCTGGATCGACATGTACTGGCAACTCCACTCCCTCTTTTCTGGGTCTTAGCTGGGCTTCTCAGCCTGCTCAGTCCTAATTTGCACTTCTGGACTCAAAGGTCTTGGGCTCTGGGGAGAATGAAATCTTTGCTTAAAGAAGGAAGGAGGAGTAGATCCACCTCCACACCTCCATCACGTGTTGCTAAACTAGCCACATCCTGCCTGCTCTTTGCACAACTGCACTTCCTTTTTATTAACCTGGCTTCCTCTTTCCCTCACTTCGCTTTCACCCGTCTGCACTCAGTAGCCCCCACCCCCAACTACCTACCACTACTCTTACAGATTGTTAGAGGGAATTTCCAGAGGCTCAAAAACCTACCTGCCCAGTAAAGCAGGTGCTGAGGTAAGGGTGTGAAATGCAGTCTACAGCAGTGGTTAACAGAGAGGGATTTGAGCCCAAACAAACAAAAAAATCCAATTCATTGCTGTCAGGTCAATTCTGACTCATGGTGACCCCATGCGGTACAGAGCAGAATTGTTCCATAAGGTTTTCTCAGCTGTAATCTTAATGAAAGCAGATTGCCAGGCCTTTTTTCTATGTAGCCTTTACTTTAGGCCAACTTGTGTCACCAATCTCTAGGTTAGCAGCCAATGGAAAACTGCTTGCACAGCCCAGGCTCCAATTTGAGACCAAAACTGAAAACCAAACCCACTGCTGTTGAGAAAAACTGAATAGATTCCAACTCATAATGACCCTATAGAACAGGGTAGAACTTCCCCATAGGATTTCCAAGGCTGGAAAGCTTTATGGAAGCAGACCGTGGAGTGGCTGCTAGGTTCAAACGGCCTACCTTTTATTTAGCAGTTTAGTGCTTAACCACTGTGCCACTAGGGTTTCTCTTGATTTGAGACCAGCCTGACTTCAATCCTGCCTTTGCTATCAGTGGTGATGAGAACCTGAGCAAGTTACTTGATTCCCTGTTTGCATAATTCAGACCCTCATCTCCAGGTTGTTGTCAGGATTTACTAGGCACAGTGCCTAGGCATAAAAATTGCTCAAGAGATGGCAACTGCCTGGCCATCAGTCTACATTTCTTTAAGGAGGTGGTATGGGGCTGCTGATACAGAACAATGAGCTCTTTGGGGTAAGACAGAAGGATAATCACAGTCACTAACACTATTGAGCGAGAGTCTATTAGGCACCTGTAAGTGGTTACATATAATCCTCCCCACAGCTCTTTTGGGGACCACTCGACTTAGCTCCAGTTGGCAGATAGGAAACTGAAGTTTACAAGTGTTGGATTTCCCCCAAGTCTACACATTTAAGGAAGTAAGAAGGTAAAGCAAACTGGGAAAGAACAGGAGCCAGTTCCTCACAATAACATCAGCCTACTCACTTAAGAAAGAGAATAGCTCTTGTCCCTTTTTAGGTTCTTGGGTGACACAAATGATCTGCACTTGACTACTAGTCTAAAGTTTGATGGTTCGGATCCATCCAATGATGCCATGAAAGAAAGGCCTGGCAATCTGCTTCCATAAAGATTATTGCCAAGAAAACTCCATGGAGCAGTTCTACTCTGCAACTCATAGGGTTGCCATGAGTCAGGATTGACTCAATGACAAAGGGATTTTTTTTTTTTTTTTAGTTTTACACCATAACTCTCCCAGGACACAGAGTCCTGAAGATCTATGTGCAAAGGGCCATACTACTATCTTCACAAAAGGGACTTTAAATTCCAGTGTGTTGTGAATAGGAATCCAGAAGCCAAAGAGTAGCTCTGGGACTTCAATTTGGATCTGCCAAGCTTCAAAACTCTCTTTCTGTTTTCAGCCCTAAGCTTGAGCTGGAGCTCTTCTCTCTGATATATTAACATAGAGGAAGGGAAATGTTCATTCTGCCACTACTAACAGTGCTGCAAATAAAATATTCAAGAACAACCATGCTTGGTTTAGAAGAACACTCAACCCATCTGACACATGCTCTTACCTGGCCACACATGGGCAAGGAGTGCCCTGAAGGGCATATGGAATTCTCTCTCTCTTCCAGACTCCTCTGAGGGTCACTGTCACTTTTAAAATATTTTCTGGGTGGAGGCTTGGGCTTGGAGGATGTGGGCTTTCTCACCAAAATCTCAAAGGATTTCTTCAGTCTCAGCGGCGGGTGACTGTCCTGGCTCCCTGGGAGAGGCGAGCTCTCCTGGGGCAGTCTGGACACTGCCAAAGGCAGTACTTGGGTTTCTTGTACAAGGTGTAGACTGGCACTGTGTGTGCTGACTTCCAAGTCAAGGGGCTGCTGCTCACTGCCACCACTGCGGGGACTCCCTCCTGGAGAACCAGACATGTAGCTACTGTCGCTGCTGGAACGCACCATGATCTTCTGCGCCCTGCGCTGTGGGGGTGCTGAGTTCTTCTCCCGCTCCTTCTCCAATGTTGGCCGCCCATGCCAGCTGCTTTCCAGCCTTTTGACACCTGCATGTGAAGCACAAAGGAGCCTCTACAGCTGAGCTACGGAAGATGAAAATACCACCACCACCACCTCCTGGCCTTGTTCACGACTATCATGCACACCCAGCTGTCTGCTTCTCACCTGAGCTCATTTTGGATTTGGAGCCTAGTAGCCTTGGGTTTGGTCCCTAACAAGCTGTATGACTATTAAAAAAAAAAAAAAAAAAACTCACTGCCGTTGAGTCGATTCCGACTCATAGTGACCTGTCTTTGGGTTTCTGAGGCAGTATCTCTATGGAAGTGGATTGACCAATCTACCTTCCGAGGAGTGGCTGGTATGACTATAGTGCTTAGGGAAATCATTTTGGCCTTTCTGAGGCTCCATGGGATGGACATGGATATAATCCATCCAGATCATCCATCAAGGAAGGGCCTGCTGTCCCAGATGTGGGGAGCAGCCCATACTAATGACTGACGGAGATGGCCCAGCCATTTATGCCCATCTCTGGACAACTCTAATGGGATATTTTAGCTCCAGAGCTTCAAGGGTTGGCTGAAGCTATTGGGCCTGCATACAATAAAAAACACCATAAATGTTACATATTATATTATGTATATATATATACTCCTCGGAAGGAAGGTTGGGCAATCCTACTTCTGTAGTGATACTGCCTTGGAAACCCAAGGAGGGGTCGCTATGAGTCGGGTTTGACTCGACGGCACATAACAACAACATATTTATTAGATATTACTATTTCTAAACATTTTGTGATTAGAGACTATTGTTGTTAGGTGTCATGGAGTTGATTTTGACTCATAGCAACCCCAGGTAACAAAGTAGAGTTCTCTAGCCTGTATCTTTACAGAATCAGATCACCAGGTCTTTCTTTCATGGAATTGCTGGCTGGGTATGAACCCCCAACCTTTCAGTTAGCAGCCAAGCACTTAACTGTTGTGCCACCAGGCGTCCTTGATTAGAATCTAGGAGTAGCAAACTCAAATGCCTACAGGGCTATTGTGTGAATGGCAACCTGGTAGACAGTAACAGTGAATGGTGGGCCCTATAGAGAACTATAGGAGAGTTCTTGCCCCACTTCAAATGATTCAAGTTCAAGATACCCATAAAATTTTGCACCACCCAACAAAAAAAAATGGACCAAATTTAATTGGTGGGCTTCCAGATTTCAGCTTTTGTCTAGGTACCATGTTTTGATGACTGTTGTTACATAACCTTGAGGTAGAAAGTGAGTTAATGGCTAAACTCTAAGCATTCTGAGAAGGCAAAGATATTTCAAATCAAGGTCTATCATCTCCTTTACCTTCTAGACTCCACTGATTTCTCTCCTTTCCAAATTTGATGTTCTCCACAGCCTGGGCCACAGCTTCTTTGAGTTGTTGTTCAGAGACCTAGAAGACATTAAATCATCTCCTCAAACTAAGAGTGGAAACTCCTAGTTCAGGGACCCTGCATCAGGCTCCAAGTGCTATACTATCTCCCGAGCTAGGCTCCTAGATTCTAGTTTCTTGCTTTCCAATGCTTTCTGCAATTTGCATCATTGGTTCCCCAGTATCTTCAAGCTAACTATAAAGCCTGTCAAAATAGAGGTTCCCAAGGTGGCCCCTCTCGACTCTTCAACCTTCTCCTCATACTTACTGCAAAATTCTAGGCAAACTTAACCACTTTATGGTCTACCTCTGAAGGCTATTCCATTCTTGGCAATGCTGTCATCATATCCTATTCATTATTAATAACCATATCATAAGCATCACCATTACATTGCCAGTGTTGTGACTCATACATCATAAATTGTTTTAGAGTTAAGAGTAGGGAGCTCTGGCAGCGTAGTGCCTAAGGTATCTGACTGGTAACCAGAAGGCTGGCAGTTCAAACCTATCAGCCACTCCTTGGAAGGAAAGTTGGGCAATCTGCTTCTGTAGTGATACTGCCTCGGAAACCCAAGGAGCAGTCACTATGAGTTAGATCCGACTTGATGGCAGTGAGTTGTTTTTTTTGTGTGTGTGTGTGAGTTAAGAGTATGAACTTTAGAGTGAAAACAGACTTGTGTTGACATCCCAGTTTCTCCACTTGCTAGTTATGTATCCTTAGACAAGTTAGTTAACCTTCTAAGTCTCAATTTCTTCTTCTGCCAAATAATAGAAACTACTTCACAGTGAGGATGCAAAGAAAAAAAAAATCATGTAAAATGCTGGGCACAAAGCCTGAAATATGGCAAACTCTCAACAGATGAGAATTACCATCAATAGAAGTCCTGTAAGATAAAAACCATACCTTTTTTCACAGGTGAGGAACCAGAAGCTCTGGGAGGTTGGATGAATTGTCCAAGGTCACCAAAGATAAGTAACAGAGGTGGACATGACCAGACAGTCTGCTACCAAGTCCTAGGCTCTCTCCTCTCTGCCCTGTTCTGTGCCCAGTGGGTCTCCTCTGCCAGAGTACCTTTGCCAACTCTGTTCTGCTGCACAAAACCCTACCTGTCCTTTACGACCTGGCTCCCTTGTCCCATGACCCTCACCTCCTGTGGCTTCTCTTAGTATATACCCCATCCCTCCAGCCAAAATGCAAACTTCTCAAGGTCAGGGACTAAAGCAGATGCTCCAGCTCCTGACTCCTACTCCACTACTTTTTCACCACATTAGTCAAGAGTGCTGCAGTGGTTAAGTGCTCAGCTGCTAACTGAAAGGTCAGTGGTTCAAACCTTCCAGCTGCTCCCTGAGAGAAAGGTGTGACAGTCTGCTTCCATAAAGATTCATGGCCTTAGAAACCTTAAGGGGCAGTTCTACTCTGTCCTACAGTGTCACTATGAATAGGAATCAATTCAATGGCAATGGATGGCGCAGAGGTTAAGCACTCAGCTGCTAACTGAAAGGTTGGCAATTTGAACCCACCAGCTGCTCAACAGGAGAAGGATGTGGCAATCTGTTTCTATAAAGATTACAGTCTTGAAAACTCTATGGGCCAGTTCTACTCTCTCCTATAGGGTTGTTAGGAGTTGAAATGGACTCGATGGTAACAGGTTAGTCAAGAGCAGCAAAAGGTATTAAATAAATTAAGACTTCTTTTGTTTCTTTATTGCCAAGGGATTTAGGCTAATCATTTGCTTACCTTAAGGAAGAAGCCTGCTTTTCCCTAATGTGTTTATCTTTGTTGTTGTTGTTATGTGCCGTCGAGTCAGCATCTTTAGTGCTGGATAATTGAATGACACTGGGTTTAATTCACAATATATACACAAGGTATGTGTTGATCTTCCACATTATTCTTTGTCCTCTTTTCTCTGGAAATTTAGGAGTCAGTTAAGAGTGTGGGATTTGGAATCAAACACATATGGGTCTGAATCCTAGCTTTTCTACTCTGTCCTATAGGGTCACTCTGAGTCAGAATTGAGTGGACAGCAAGGGTCTTTTTTAGCTCCTCCATTGTTAAGTTACTTCTTTCAGTTTTCTTATCTGTGAGGTAAAAGAAATAACTGTAATGACTTCATTGGCTCGTACAACAACTGGATGTGATTGTATATGTCACATCTTTGGAAAATATGTTTGGCCCATAAAAAAACACAAATGTACTGCTGTCGAGTCAGATCTGACTCACAGCGACCCCTCTGTGGGTTTCCGAGGTGATATCACTACAGAAGTAGATTGACCAACCTTTCTTCCAAGGAGTGGCTGATGGGTTTGAACCTCCAGCCTTCTGGTTAGCAGTCAAATCCTTAGGTACTATGCCACCAGAGCTCCCATACTAAAGATTAAATAAATGGTGGTCATGATTATCACCAAGTTCCATGAACTATTATCTCCTATAGTCATGGCTTCAACTCCAAGTCAAGCTCCAACCTGGATCTCTTTTACCAGCCACTATCAGCCCTAAATCTAACTGCCTCCAGTACCTCTCCACCTGAAGATCCCAAAGTCACCTCGGTCTCATTGTATGCCACACTGAGATCATTCTCTTCCCTCCCAAACCTGCTCCTCCTATTCTATTCTCTATTCTGGTGGTACTATCACTCAGTCTTGCAATCTATATATACTACAATCAACCTATTCCCTCCCTCTATGTTACCCAGAGTTAATCAGCCAGTAAAGACTGACTGTTCTTACTAAGTGTTGCTCCTTTCTCTTTATCCTCTTCTCACATCTACTGTTTAGTTATGATCGCCATCTCTTTCCTTCCTCTTTCCAATTTCTCTCACAACCGCCAAGATACAACCACTCCATTCTATCTTCCACAATGTGTCCAAAACCAAACAAACCAAATTCATTGCTATTGACTCATTTCTGACTCATAATTGCTCCCCATTGGGTTTCCAAGGCTGTAAATCTTTATGGAGGCAGACTGCCTCATCTTTCTTCTGCAGAACAGACCACCAACTTTCAGGTTACCAGCCAAATGCCTTAATCACCACACAACAGAGTTCCTTAATGTGTTCATAGTTAAAAAAAAAAAAAAAGCTGAATATGTTACATCTATGGCTATAGGCCTATCCTAGACTATGCACAAAATAAAATACAAACCATTTAGCATTTTGTTTACAACCCTTCACCTTGTAACCCCAATGCCTCACCAGCCCCGGTTCTTAATCACTCTCACCCAGTACTCTACATCCTAGTCACAAAGAACTGACTACTCTCCTTCTGTGAGTCCCTCTCATATTCCATAATGTTGAATTTTGTGTTTCCCTTGCTTGGAATGATCTTCCTCAAGTTCTTTGCCTGGTGAAAACTCACTTTATAAACCTTTCCATTCTGTGTCCCCTTCTAGGTTTCCATATTACTTACCACTTAGTATTGCAACTATTTCTATGTCAGTCTCTCAGAAGAGACCATGAGCTTTTAGAGGGCAAGATTGTGTACTATGAACTCACTTCACTCTGTATCTTCAGTGCCTAGCTCTAGACCTGCACTTAGTGGGTATGTAGCAAAAGATATGTGGATGAATGATGCTTCTGTATCTGTCAGCAGGGTCCCTAGTTCTATATTTTCCTGTCTGGAAGCTATAACCAGCCACAAAAGCTCCCCTTAGTGAATACTGATGTCCTGGAGTGTGTCAGTGGACCTCTACTACAGATAATTTGTTACTGCAGAAACTTGGAACAGGTAATTGGAAACTCAAATCCAAATGTGGCCATTCATTCATTTCTCATTCCAACGTTAGCACTGAAAAAGTGGCCCTGGGAAGGAGAGGATGACCCAGAGGGATGTTACCTGTGGATCTGGATGCCGGCTAACAATGATGGGGATGGAGCCAGGACTGCAGTGACTCAGAATCGCATAGACTTCATTGAGTGTCATGCAGTGCACTGGAGAATCATTGATCTCCACAATTTCATCACCACACCTGCAAAAGCATCATTGGGAAGCCATCAGCAAGCTAATCAATGTGCCATTTCAACTGTCACTCCCCTGAGGGCCCACTCCTAGATGGGCCGTTTGATGAGACTTAAAAATCAAATCAGTACATAACTCCCTAGGCACCTGACTAGAACTCAGAACACACCAGATCACAAAGTGGAGACATTTCCAATCCAGAAGTGAGTCAACATTAACAAAAGTTTGTCTTTAGCCTTCCTTTTCCCTGTTTACAGCCCTTTAACTATGACCAACCAAGACCGAGGGGCTGATGTTGACAGGAAGAGAAAAATGAAATCATGAAATAGCATTCAGCTGAACAATTGTCACAAAACCTTGAACCAATCACTTCCTTCCTTTCTTTGGGCCTTAATGGGCCCATATATAGCATGGTTAGGAGGAAGGATTGGATAAGATGTGCTAAAAGGTAAAGAAGGAATAACTAAGTAGAAGAACAGTTGAGGTTTTCATGGGAAGGCATGAGAAAAGAAGGCTAGGAAGTTCATATCTGTTGCAAGGCAGGAAAGAAAGTACTAGCAACCTACAGAGAAAAAAAAAATTAGGTAGAAAAGCAAGATTCAATTAACTCATGGAAGCTTGAAGAATCCTTGTTTCATAGATAGAGAAACTGAAGTACAAAGGGTGAAATGACCTACCTGATAACATCTAGCTCAGGAGTTGATAATATTTTCTACAATGGCCCAAATAGTAAACATTTAGGCACTGTGGGCCATATAGTTTCTATCACAACTACTCAACTCTACCATGGTAGCATGAAAGCAGCCATAGACAATATGTAAACAAATAATAAGGCTATATTCCAACAAAACTTTATTTACAAACACAGGTGGTGGGCCTGAAAACCGTATTTGCCAAGCCCTAGCCTAAGTGGTTATTGGCAGGGCCAGGATTAAAACTCAGATCTCTTGACATTTATCTCATTGTTCCTTCCACTGCTACCTCTTTCTCCTACATTTCTGCCAAATCAAATCCACCTTCACAGTTGCTAATAAAGTACACATTTTTTATGGATGTAACTGATGACCACTCTCCTATAGCACTAAGTTTCAAAGAAAATAGAAACTTCCAAAATAATTCCTACCCAGCTGCAGGCCTTGGAGGAGGCAGTCCCTACCTGAGAGAATTTGTTGTTGTTGTTATGTGTTGTCGAATCAGACCCAACTCATAGTGACCTCTCTTTGGATTTCTGAGGCAGTATCACTACAGAAGCAGATTGCCCAACCTTCCTTCTGAGGAGTGGCTGGTGGGTTTGAACCGCTAGCCTTATGGTTAGCAGTCAAGTGCCTTAGCCACTATGCTACCAGAGCTCCCTGAGAGCATTTAGGACTACAATAATAACAGCACAGTGGCTCAGTAAATCAATTGTCACCCTCCTGCAGATGACAGCAACAAACCCATCTCTAATTCAGAAGTTCATCAAGATACCATCCTAAGCAGGGCTTGCCCTTGCGTATACTGCAGTTACAGTAAAATCTTTACAAACATGGCAAAACTCTTCTGATTTAGCAAGACCCAAACCCAATGAGAGACGATATAGCTGTACTAAATATGAACATAGAAGTATATGGTATCATAATAAGTTAAACTGGGATGAAAAGTTATTATTAAATCTAGAAACCTGTGGAGGGGGGGGAGAAACTTCATTGAACAAAACCTTTTAGATTTGTACTTCCCTTAGAAGTTATTTGTAAAGCAATGTATCTGGAGTGCCTGAAAAATGTTTTGTTTATGGCGCCATGAAACTGTGTTTATACAACTGACTTGCATAGTAAGTCTTTTTTTCCCATATAGATAGACACAGGTAAACTTTATTAAAGCTCCTATTTAAGTTCTAAATCTGAATTAAAGTGTGTTTACCTTTTGTGTTCTGTTTTGGAATTTGTATTTTCTGAGACAACATTTCATCAACTGTATTGGGCATACAAATCATCTTGTTAGGATGCAAGGACTTTTAGAATGCAGATTAGAATCATCATGTCTGGGGCAGAGCCTGGGGTTCTGCATTTCTAACAAGCTCCCAGGGGATGTTGATGTTGCTGTTGCAGGGACCATGCTTTGAGGAACAAGGCTCTGAGCCCCATCTGGATCATTCATTCTAAATATTTCATCTCCAAAGCAATCTCCTGACATTCTAAGGTGATCGTTCCTTCGTCCATTTTAGATCAGAGATCTTTCCAAAAACAGAAACAAGGACCTACCGGAGCCGTCCATCCAGATGAGCCACAGACCCTGGAGAAAGTGTATGAACGAAGATGCCCGAGATGCACTGGAAGTAGGGGACACTGCACAGGCCGATCCCCAGGCCAACACCAGCCTCTGAAAGGTAGAATGGGCAGGGGAGACTTGTGATTGAACTTTCCAGGCACTAACTACTCTATTAGGTGTCTCAACACCTTCATGGATCAATCAAGTTTCCCCTACTTATGTCACTTATTCCACCCATATTTATGCACTGTCAACTTTGGGTAGGTTCCTGAGTGGTGCAAATGGTTAATGAGCTCAGTTACTAACCAAAGATTGGAAGTTCAAGGCTACCCAGAGATGTCTCAGAAGCAAGGGCTGGTGATCTTTTTCCCAAAAATCATCCAGTGGAAACCCTATGGAGCACAGTTCAACACTGACACACATGGGGTCACCGTGAATCAGAAAATCTTGATAGCAACTGATACATATATTTTTTTAAACTGTATGCAGGGCACTGCCTTCAGTTCAGCCACAGTGACCAAGGAAGACAAAATCTCTGCTCTCAGGGATCTTAAGTTCAAGTGGGAAAAGAAAGGAAGAAAAGAAGGGAGGAAGGGAAGGTAGAAAGGAAGGAAAATAAGAGGGAGGGAGAGAAGGAGAGATGAAAGGAGGGAGGGGGGCAAAGAAGAAGATATCAGAAAGTGATAAGTATTATGATGAATATTCCAGACAATTACAGGTTTGCCTCAGAGGAGGCAACATTTAACCTGGGTTATGACTGATGACAAGAAACCAGGGATGTGGAGATAGGGATAGAACTTTCCCAGAAGAGGAAACAGCAAATGCAAAGTCCTGAGGACAAGAATGAGTGGAGGTGATACGGGACCAGAAAGGAGACCAGTGCGGCCAGAACAAAGCCAATAACAAGGACAGTAGTATGAGATGATGTAGGAAAGGAAGGCGAGGGCCAGATTAAATGGGGCTTTGTAAACAAGAGTGTCTCAGTCAAAGGATGTTGTTCTATACTGAGATGGGATGTCATAGGGGAGTTTTGAACAAGGAAGTAACATGATCTAATTTCTATTTTTAAATATGTGACTCTGGTTGCTATGAGGAGAAAAAACTATAGAAGTGGACACAAGAAGACAGTTAAAAGAAGGAAACTACTTTCTTTGTTGGTTACCAGTGGTGGGAGGGGAGGGGAGGAAACACAGCAAAAATAAAAATGAAAAAAAAAAAAAGAAGAAGACGACCAGTTAAGAGGCTACTGTTGAGCAAGACAATGGTGGCTTGGACTTCACTGTGGGAGGAGATGGAGGGAAATGGATGCACGTAGAATCTATCTTGGAGATAGAGTTACTGATGGATTAAATGTGGGGAAATCGAATAACTCAGAGATTGTTTGGCTTGAGTGACTGAGTGAGTGATGATGCAGTTTATCAAAGTGGGGAAGGTTGGCAGGGGAGCAGGATTAGGGGGATGGGGGACCAAGGGCTTGGGTTTGTCCAGTTTACATTTGAGATGCCCATGAGGTATCCGAACGGATCTGTGGGGTAGGCAGTGGTAGAATAGAGGAATCTGGAACCCAGTGAAGACAGCAGGGAGAAGTTAAGTTTAAAGTAGCAGTATGTGTGCAGTGTTAGGGCCATGGGGCTGATGGGATCTCCCACAGCAGTCTCTGAAGAGAAGAGAGTGGGGCATGCCAACATTGAAATTTCTGGAATCCAAGGAACAGCCAGCAAGGGGACTAGATGGAATCATCAGGCAGGAAGGGAAAGACCTTTTTTATATTTCCTTCTTCTTTCTTTTTTTTTTTGCACTTTGTGATTTACAAAGCACTTTTACATACAGTTTCACCTTCTGATGCTGGTCCTCCCAGCAATCCCATGAGGGAGGCCATGAGAAATTGTTATCAGCCCTATTGAAAGGATGAAGAATTCTGGAGGTGACAGGACCCACAAACAAAAGTCAGGACCCCTCACAGGAACCCAGGTTTCCTGACTCTGGAGCAAATGTTCTTAGTCCTAGTGGTCTCAGTGCCTGGGGGTATTCTTTCAAACTAGATCCCTGAGCCTCATCCCTAAAACTGTTGAATACAATCTCTGGGAGCAGAGCCTAAGAAGCTATATTATATAAAACAAACAAAAGACCCCCCCAAAGGTGTTGTTGGAGTCCCTAGGGTGTGCAAACTGTTAATCTGCTCGGCTGCTAACCAAAAGGCTAGAATTTTAGGTCCACTCAGAGGTGCCTCAGAAAAAAGCCCTGGCAATCTGCTTCCAAAAAATCAGGGATTGAAAATCCTATGGAGCACAGTTCTACTCTGACACAAATGGGGTTGCCGTGAGTCAAAATCTGGTCAACAGCAACTGGTTAAGGTATTTCTGATACCAGTGATCAGTGGAAATATTACTCAAGGCCAGTTCTGTGTGCAACCCCTCACCCCACCCCATGGAATCCTGCAGGGAGAGAATGAAAGCTGTGTCTTCCCTACATTCCATGCCTTAACTTACTTTGGAGCACTGAACATATCTGTTGGCTCTGGGCAGCACAGGCTTGTTTGTACTGTGTACTTATGCAAAACACCATGCCAGGCACTGAAGCACATAGAGACAGTATGAGGCCTTGTAGTCCCTCAAGGAACTTGAAGTCTAAGAGGGAAATAAGATATGCAGGACATGCATGCATAAGACAAAGCCCTATCCAAAATCAACTCATAGCAACCCTACAGGACAGAGTAGAATTGTTTCATAGGATTTCCAGGGCTGTAAGTCTTTATGGAAAGAGCTCTGGTGGCATAGTGCCAGAAGGTTGGTGGTTCAAACCCACCAGCCACTCCACAGAAGGAAGACTGGGCAATATATACTTCTACAAAGATTCATGGCCTCTGAAACCCTCATCTTTCGGCCATGAAGTGGCTGGCTGACCTTTTGGTTAGCAGCTCAATGCCTTACCACAGTCCCACCAGAAATCTTTCCAAGCCCTATACAATTAATTAATATCATACAGCTTCTTGGTCCCACTTCTAAAATATAGCTCAGACCTATTCACTTCTCTCTACCTTCATTCAGACTCTCCTCTCCGACCTGAACTTCAACAAATTTCAAGCTTCTGCTTTTTTCATGCCAAGCACAGTCCATTCTCCATAGAGAAAAAGAGGAGACATTTCTTAAAATATATGCTGAAACAGGTCACTTCCTCCTACCCATCCTTAAAGGATCTCCAAGTGTAATTAGAAGGCAATGGGTTTACAAGCCCTGGCCCTGAACTGATTCCAAATGATGAAAGCCTCAGGAATGCAGCAGTGGGAGATGAACACAGAGGGTGGAGGAGGATGGGTAGAGCCCTCTCAGGTGAGAAGGCCAGTGCTCCTACCCTTCCTCAGAGACACCTCCACCATGATTCTGTAATTGGGCTTTGTAGTATTGGCAGGAGCCACAGGGCTTTCCACAGAGAAGGAGCTGCAATCCTTGGTGGCACAAGTGCTGGAGCTCAGGGAGCGGCACAACGACGGAGACAGGTGGCTGGACAGGGTGTGTGGGGCCGTCAGGCGGGTTCGCACTGTGAGGGTGAGGAGCCCCTTTTTGGCTTGCTGAAAGGAAAAGAGACAGTGCTAGAAAATTCAGCAGCGACTCAGGGAAGGTGATGAAATCTGGCTTCCATCGATACCAAAAAAAACTCATTGCTGTCAAGTTGATTACAACTCATAGTGACCCTTCCTTGGGTTTCCAACGCAGTATCTCTATGGAAGTAGATTGCCCAGTCTTCTTTCCTAGGAGTGGCTGGTAGGTTTGATCCACCAACCTTCTGGTTAGCAGTCAAATGCCTTAGGCACTACACCACCAGAGCTGTAGTAAAATACTTTTTAAGGAAATGCAGCCATATACAAACCAAAAAGAAAAAAGAAAAAACTCACTGCCATCGAATTGATTCCAACTCATAGCGACCTCCTTTGAGTTTCCAAGGCAGTACCTTAGCCACTATGCTACCAGAGCTCCCATATATGCATATAGGTATATTTATATTAGCTAGCTCTGGTAGCATAGTGGCAAAGGCACTTGACTGCTAACCAGAAGGCTGGTGATTCAAACCCACCAACCATTCCTCAGAAGGAAGGTTGGGCAATCTATTTCCGTAGCAATACTGCCTCGGAAACCTAAGGAGGGGTCGCTATGAGTCGAATCCAACTCAATGGCACATAACAATAACAACAACAAACAGAGAGACAGAATTTTGAACTAATTAGGTAGAGACTCAAAAATATGTATTGGGAACTGTCTTACAAATTTAAAGCAAATCTATAAATGTATTGATATGAATACATAAAGTGTTTTAAAACAGTTTTGTAAATTGTAAATAGTTTAAACATACCCTACAACAATTTTGATTACAAGTCTGATTATTAATTTCTTAGGAAGTTCTCTTTTTAATGCTGTGCAAGATCAGCATCAGCTAGATTCCCTATGTAAAGTATCCCACATTCTAAATTGGTAGGTTTGAATGAAGGAGGGTGATGCTGGGAGCTTGACCCATTTGCCTGAAGGCCCCAGAGTCTGGGCATATGTTGATAAGAAACAATCACCTTGAATTTCTGCAAAGCATCCTGGTGTGTTAGCCCAGCCATCGATTCACCATTGAGTTCCAGAATTTCATCACCTGTTGAGAGAGGGAGAAATTGCAGCCTAGAAGAGTGTTGCCCAATCAAGGTACAATATCCTTGCCTTGAACTCTAGCTGCCCTAACCTGCCTGGCTTTTTATACAATGCACAAAACACTTTGAAGAACATTTTCTCATTCAGTGCTCACTCCCTGGAAGGGAGGTAAGACAGCAATGATGGGCCTTCCTGGCACCTCTTGTCTTTCAGCATAGGATCCAGGATTTTTAGCCAGGCAAACAGACCTGGCCTCATCTGGTCCCTGCCCAGCTCTTTGCTTCACCTCCTTCCCTCCTGCCCTTGGCCCTCTCACCATTTGCTCTGGTAGATCATTTCCTAATGCAACAAGATTTGTATTTTCCACAATGACTACACAGTTAAATGCTTGCTCAAAGGTATTTTCTCAATTAAAGTGTACTTTTCCTATCTTCTTCACCTGCCCCTTCCTCATCTTTCAGTCCCTGCTGCCTTCATCTCTTTGTCTTCCCATGGAACCCTACACCTACAACTGTCACAGAACTTGTCACCCTGGATGGTGACTAGGGACCTTAAAAATCCCTCCCCCACTGGGCTGGCAGCTCCCTGGGAACAGGGGCTTTGTCTTATTCATCGATATATCCCAGGACCAATTCTGTGTGGGGCCTACAAAGCGCTTGATAAATGTGAGTTGATGTGATATATCCAGAATGTAATATGGGACTCATTTTACAGAAAAAGAAAGTGAGCCCAAGGCCCAAAGTCACATGACAAAAAAAGAATTAGGACTTGGGATCTTTGATATCAAGTCCTTTCTTTGTAAATTATATTGCTATGAGGATAAAGTTTTCCTGTATCCATAAATCTTTTACGGGTGAAAACCCTTTCATTCAGTATTCAATACCTAATTAGGGAACCATTTCTCTGTGCTAAAATAAACACTGTGCTGGATACTTCAGAGGCAAACACTATTTTCACACTGACTTCTGGGTTTGATTGTTGTTGGGGAAATGTGCTGTTACCAAGTTGTGGCTCCCTTGCAGATACTTGTTATAGATTGAATTATGTCCCAAAAAAATATGTGTTGTAAATCCTAACCTCTATAACTGTGGTTACAATCCCATTTAGGAATGGGCTTTCTTTGTCATGTTAATGCACAGTGTGTCTTAAATTAATCTTTTGAGATACAAAAGAGATTAAACAAGCAAACAACCAAACAGAGATGGGGGAAGATAGATGCCATGTCACATGAAGATCACCAAGGACCCAAGGAATACAAGCTAAAGAGATAGGGACCTTCTCTCAGAGCTGACAGAGAAAGAAAGCCTTCCCCTAGAGCCAGGACCCAGAATTCAAACTTCCAGCCTCCTAACTGTGAGACAATAAATTTGTTTGGTAAAGCCACCCACTTGTAGTATCACAGCCATCAAGTCAGAGCTAACTCATAGAGATCCCTCCTTGGGTTTCCAAGGCGGTAACACTATGGAAGTAGTTTGCCCAATCTTCCTTCTGAGGAGTGGCTGGTGGGTTTGAACCACCAGCCTTCTGGTTAGGAGTCAAAGGCTTTAGTCACTACGCCAACAAAACTCCATCTCTGTTGTAATAACAATAATTTAAAAAAAAAAAAAAAAAGCCTGCAACCACTGCCGTGGAGTCGAATCCAACTCATAGTGACCCCCTCCTTGGGTTTCTGATGCGGTATCACTACAGAGGTAGATTGCTCAACCTTCCTTCTGGGGAGTGGCTGGTAGGTTTGAACCACCAGCCTTATGGTTAGCAGTCAAATGCCTTAGGCACTATGCCACCAGAGCTAGCTAATATAAATATCTGTTATAGAAGCACTAAATATAGACAATAATCCATCCTTTTACTCTGGTTGCCTTTAAGTTTGGTTGGTTCCCCTCCCCCTTTGTCTTTGTTATTTTGCAGTTTTACTATGATGTGCTAGGGTTGAAGGAAGCTCTCTGTGTTTTCTCAAGCTAAAGTTTCATGTCTTGAACCTCTATGGCTTGTAAATAGTTCAGCAGCCCTCTGAGCCACCACATCATCAATTCATAAATTTACCACTAGATTTAAAGTTGTTGCTTTGTTTTCTAGCATCTGGGCATTTCTATTTCTTTCTTTTGAGGATGATATTTTATCAATCATCTCTATGGAAATGTAGGGTAGGGTTAGTGTGGGAAAGAGTTCAAATCAACTCAATCTATTAGGTTGAGAGATTCCAAGTCCAAGAGTGAAAACAAACTGTTAAAAAAAAAATCACAATATAATTAAATATGTGCTGAAAGAGGATATAGACTCTGGTGGTACAGTGCCTAAGACATCTGACTGCTAACCAGAAAGCTGGTGGTTCAAACTCACCAGCCATTCCTCAGAAGGAAGGTTGGGCAATCTACTTCCATAGTGATACCACCTCGGAAGCCCAAGGATGGGTCGCTCTGAGTCGGATGCGACTCAATGGCAGTGAGTAGGAATGAAGGAGGTTATACAAAACATACTTCAGAGATGTCCATTCTTAATTACATAAAAAGCAAGTTATTAGAATGTCCATATCAATGGGGCCATATAGCTCACTTCTGGGATTTACAGAATGTCCTTATCCTTATTTATTGTCCCTATTTGGTGAAATTTGGTTAACCTAGGTTTTGCCAAGTGAAACTTACATAATCACCTTTTGGGAAGGAGAATAAAAATAAAACATCATTAGCCTTGATCTGTACAACAAACTTTTGTGATAATTGATGTAAACCCTGTGAATTCAGGGACAGATTCAAAAACTTTGCTTTTGCAAAAAGTTACAAAAGGTGATTTGGTTAATTTTTTGAGGCTAGAGCTAGGAATCATGGAGTAGCTGAATTGTTGTAGCTAATTGAAATGCTCTATTTTTATTATTTCAATTATCTAAGGGACAAACACCTAGAAAAAATATAATCATTAAGCTTGGTTTGGGAAGCCTTGCCCTAGAGAAAGAAAACAAAACACCAAATATTCTCTTCACTTTCTACCTCAACCCTTTCACCATCCTTTCTTTAAACACCAAAAAGTATTGTGGTGGTTAAATTTGTATGTCAACTTGGCTGGGCCCGGTTGAGTGGCTGGGCAGCTGGTGGTAGTTATTCCCCACGGTGAGATTAGTAATTAACTCCATGGTGGGATCTACCACAAGCAGCTGAGTAGCTCTGCCTTTGGGATGTGGTCTGCTTCCTGTATATAAAGAGAAGCCTCGGGGATAGTCTCTAGCTTATGGCACTTTGAACCCTGTAGGTAGCTGTGTCATTGTTCAGCAGCCTGCCATGCTCTGCCGACCTTGGGACTTACAATGGACTTGAAATAATGGCCTGCCGTCTGGTTTGGTAACATCGGGACTGAGCCATGTTACTTGTCGACCTTGGGCTTGTTAGCCTCAGTAGCCAGTAGCTGTCTGAGTGAAGAGATGCCTCTACCTTCAGTGGGCTGGGAGCAAGAAGTAGAGCTGAAGCCCAAGGTCGAGGGGCTTTCACACAGCCCCTAGAGCCTGACACTTTGAACTCGGACTTAAAGCCTCCAAATTGTGAGAGAATAAGCTCCTGTTTGTTGAGGCCATCCATTTGTGGTATATTCTTGTCAGAGTGGCACTAGGTAATCAGGACAAGTATGAAAGATAATAAAAGAAATGATGGCACACTCTGTGGAGAGCTCACTTTTCTTCCTTTCTCTCATTAGTTCCTCTTCTCTACCTGCTCATGATTTAGCTGTCATTCCTCTACAACTGAGCCTCAGATCTCTTCTCTGCTCTCTACTATCCTTCATCCATTTTATGCCTTTAGCTGTTTTCCAAATGTTGATGACCCTGAAATCTACACTCAACCCTAAGCCCCTTCCTGAGGGTTGCCTCAAATTTTCATTTGCCTGCTGAACACTCCACCTAGTGGTCCCCAGATACTTCATTCTCCACTCTGCTACTTAAGCCCAAACCTCCTCCTTACCCTACTTACTTTTCCTCCTCTCCTTCTGCTTCTTACCTGTGTAGTAATATATTTCACTCGTTTACTAAGCCTGGAAATCTTCAAGTCTTCTCTGCTCAACCTCTCATTTCCCATCTCCACTTCGGTCTAAATTCTGCCACTTCTCTCTGCTTCTTTCTCTTCCCAGGGTTACTGCTCCAGAGCAAGCCCTTAAAAGCTGGTATCTGACTTTTGTAATAAATTCTTAACTAGCCATCCTGCTTCCCATTTCCAGCCAACTTCATTCTACATTTTGTTTCTTAAATCACCTAAAATTTCTGATCATAGCCAGACCTTCCCATATTCCAAAAACCTTTACTGGCTCCCCACTGCACACCATTAAAATCCACAAAAATAAAATCTTCCATAATGTTTCAATTGGCAAACGTTTTCTGTAAAGGGCCAGATAGTAAATATTTTACGCTTTACAGGCCACACACTCTCTGTGGCAACTACTCAACACTGCTGCTATATAACACAAAAGCAACCACAGAATGAATGAGTGTGGTTGTGTTCCAATAAACCTTGGTAATGGACACTGAAATTTGAATTCTATTTCATTTTCATGTGTCACATAATATTATTCTTCATTTAATTTTTTTCAACTATTCTCTGGTAGCACAGTGCCTAAGGCACTTGACTGCTAACCAGAAGGCTGGCGGTTCAAACCCACCAGCCACTCCAGAAGGAAGGTTGGGCAATCTACTTCCATAATGATACTGCCTCAGAAACCCAAGGAGGGGTCACTATGAGTTGGGTCCAACTCGATGACACATAACAACAACAACAACAATTTAAAAATGCAAAACTAATTCTTAGTCCATAAGAAGTATAAAACAGACAATGGACGTGGGAGAACAGTATGGAAAAAAACTAAAAATCATTCAAAAAAAAAAAAAAAAACCCAGGTTTGCTGGTCTGATAGAGCCTGGTGAGACCCCTGAGACTATGGTCCCTAGCTATCCTTCAGGTTTGGAATTGAACTCATTCCTATGCTTCCAGCCAAACAGTAGACAGGCATACAGGGTGAATATTTACATCAGGTAGATACACTACTTGGAGTGATCAATCATGGAAGAAAAGAAGGGCAGTGTTTACACAGGGAGACAGTTCTGGGGGTGGGAGTGCATGGGAGGGAAGGACACAGAGAAGAAGTAACTATGTGGAGGAAGTGGGAAGAGAGCTGTTACATTGAGGGGAATTGCAGTCAATGTCATAAAACAAAATGTGTATGAACTTCTGTATGGGAAATGAGTTTGCTCTGTAAACTTTCATCCAAATCACAAAAAAAAAAAAAAAACTATAGCCATGGGGTGTAGTTTACTAACTCCTGCCCTAATCAATTTAGAGGACTAAAGATGGTTAGATGTGATGGTTAATTTTATATGTCAACTTGGCTGGGCTATAGTGTCCAATTGTTAGGTGAAACACTAGTCTAGTTACTGATATGAAGTAATCACATATGATTAAATCAGTTGGCCTTTAATAAAGCAGATTACTTTCCATGATATGGGTAGGTATCAATCAGTCAGAAAGCTTTAAGAGCAAAAAGAGAATTTCCTTAGGGTGTGTTCTGTTTCCAAATTATAAATAGACATTTTGCCAGAACTCTCTTACTCTTCAATCTTCTTTTAGCTTGACCTATGGATTCTGGGATGTAAGCTTATAATAGTCTCCAGCCTATCACCTGACCTACGGTTTGGTGACCTGCCAGCCCCCAACAATTGTGTGAACTGATTTCTTGAAATAAATCAAACTTTTTTTCTCTCTCCTTCCCTCTCTCTCTTCTGCTTTCTTACTCATCTATCTATCATCTCTCTACTTATCATCTATCTATCTATCACTGGTTATGTTTTTCCAGAGAACTCTGATAAGACATTAGATTCCTAGCTTGGCTTATGGAAACTGACCTGACAGGAAGAGTGGAACTCTCTGAACTCACTTCTCTTTAAATGTCAATATGTAAACTGTCCCTGACCTACAGTGGCTGCCCTCTGCTCTACCACTGCCTATCCCTAAACTTTGCCTCCTAAATTGAAACCTGGAGATTTCCAATGCCAAGCCCATTGCTCAATTATTCAAACATGACTTTGGGATGGAGCTGGGGTTTGAGGGAAGAAAACCTGACCCTCTAGGAGAAGAAGACAGAGATCGTCACCCAAGAAGAAGCTCTGCTCCCCAGAACACTCTCTTCTAGGATGGCCAAGTGCTTCTTTCCTGCGACAAGCTAAGAGGACATAGTTGAATATGAAGGTAGGCAGAGGGATTGGTCAATCAGGTGGGAAGACTGTGAGGTCTTTGAAAGGAGGGATCCTGTCTGATTCATTTCTATACTTCTGGAGGCTAGAACTCAGGATTCTTAGAGAATATTGGTTAAACCCATCTGTTATAAGCATTGGACGTGGTTTTCCTATGGTTGTATGTTTGGAAGAACAGAAATAAAAGAAAAGGGGGGCTTTCAAAATATCCTAGCAACTGAGAAAAGACCTTGAAGAGAAAGGACAAGACAGCAGGGAGAATGGAGGGGACAGATGCTTCAGTGACCAGCCACAGGCTGGTGACAGGATCCAGCTGAGACAGCTGTAGCAGTGTCACAATTGAGCGTGCAAAAACACACAGCCAATGTGCCAGTGGTAATAGACCATCAGAAGAGCTGCATTCCCACTCCTGCAGAACCCAGAATCCACGTCAGCTATCTTCTGAAAATTCAAGATAACATTTTGCATTCCCAATATCTACACTCAGAATTGGTTAAGCAATTCTGTTCTTGGTTCCTCAAACATCATCTGGGATGGGAAAAGGATGGGAAATCTACCTTCTTGGAGCCTGCCATCAGCCGCCGCTGCTCCCCCTGGAAAAATGGTTTTGACGTAAATTCCAATGGGGCCATAAATGCTGTCCTTTCCCCCAACAATGCTGAATCCCAGGCCCTGGAGAAAGAAGAGGAGAAGGTTGGATTTAGGAGTGTCCATGCCATCCATTGGGTTGATGTTTCCTGAATACCTCAGCCTCCTGCTCTGAACAAGGGAGTCAAGAAGAAGAGAAGGGCCTGTAGTCCCATGGGTCTAAGGGCCTGACAAAGATGCAAAGAGCAGTCACTTTGGATCCAGGCTGGCCTGATGCTTTTCACACTGCACCGGTGATGTACAGGCAGGAATGCTAGATGGACATTAACATCCTGGCTCTACCCCTCTAGCTGGCAATTCTAAGCATATTACTTCCTATCTGAGTTTTGGTTTCCTCCCTTGTGAAATGATGATCACTTAACTCACAGGGTTGTGCTGATAAACACAACAAAAATATCAATGACAATCATACTTGTCTCCCTTGTCAATGATGAGGTCTTGGGCGTGTGGGCCTTGTCAGTCTGACAGTGGGAGGCCAACCTTATTTCTGAACTCATTGTGCTTCTCTGCACTCCAGGCTTTCTTCCACACCAAATAACTCATCTCATCTTATCACTGGGCCTTTCTAGCACAGCTCAGTCTACTCTATGATACATTTTCCCATAACATGTATTTATTGATTGTACATTTTAGACACACCACAATATTAATCAACTTTGCATATGATATAGTGCCTTTTTCTGTGATGCCTACTTGTGAGCATTTTAAGAAAAAAATTTAAGTCAGCTTTTAAGTACCTCAACCTAACTTCAAAGGAGCCTCAGTAGCACAAACGGTTAAGCATTCAACTGCTAACCAAAAGGTTGGTAGTTCTAACCCACCAGCAGCTCCTTGGAGAAAGACCTGGTAGTCTGTTCCCAAAAAGATTACAGCCAAGAAAGACCTATGAGGCAGTTTTACTCTATCATATAGGGTCATTGTGAGTTAAAACTGGCTTGACAGCACCCAACAAAGTGGGGCTGTTTAGAGAAAGTTTGCATAGGAGGCAGTCACTCCTCTGTGATTAGAGGAAAAGTAACTCCAGCATTGCTCACTCTTCTCTTTAATCTCTGGCTGAGCTCCCAGAAGAGAGAGGGCACTGGGGATAGAAAGTGAGGAATCCAGGTGTGTGGTGGGGTACTACCCCTGGAAAGATCATAAATAGCCATCAGATCCTTCCCTCACATCACACATCAAAATTATATGAGATGGTGTCTTAGCTTCCTTGACTACGATTTTCCTCCTTTTGATTTCTCAATTATGGAGCAGAAATCAAGATGATGCTTCATCACCTAGTGAGAGCTAGAGTACTTCTTACTTTTCAGGCAGCTCCAACTGACAATGAAAAGCATGATGTGTTGTTGTTAGGTGCTGCTGAGTCTATTCCAACTCATAGTGACTTCATGTGACAGAGTAGAACTGTCCCATAAGGTTTTCTAAGCTGTAATCTTTATGGAAACAGATATCCAGGTCTTCTGCAGAGTCACTCGGTGGGTTTGAACCGCCAACATTTTGGGCCCTTATCTATTGCACCACCAGGGCTCCTGATCCTCATATGCTGACCCGAATCACCACTCTCTACCCTCGTCCATCCCTTGACATAACAGCTACTCAGGAACTGATGTTGCTTTGGTATTTTCTGTCAGCAACAACAGTCCTTGCTTACCTTGGCCTGCCCTTTCATCAGCACTATGTTGGAGATGACTGAAGCCTGGAGGCCCCCAGAAGGTTGCATGAGCTGAGCTGTGCTTAGTGACCGCGTTGGTCTGGAAGTGCCCTGCAAGGAGGAAGCAGTGTGGAGAGGGTGAGCCACATGGCAGAGTGCCCCATGCCTTACTGGGAAGGGGAAAGGCCCAGCAAGGAGAGGGATCAAGCCTTCTCTCTCCTAAAGGCACACAGCATGATGACAGAGTATGGTTAGTGAGGTGTGGGCGGAAATCTAGTGGCCCCAGGAGTCAACTCTGTGATCTCAATTCCCCTGCAGACCAACAACAGCCAACAGCTCACTCAAGCTTGACAAGGGTAGTGATATCAGAGGCGACGCTTACCTTCAAGACTGCAAGTCCCCTGCAGCCAATGTCTCAAGCAGAGTCTGGAAACCACTACCAGAGATGCTGTCTACAGACTATGTTCAATTCAAGACACTTTTAGTAAGAGCCCTCCCTGTGCTAGGCCTGAGGTGATGGGCAAGAGGCAGAAACCTAAAGGCTTAAAAACTCAGAGTATAGATTCCAGGACAAGCAGACAGGTAATTGCATAGCAGAAGCAATGTGTACCAATGAGAGGCACATGCTGACCTGGAGAGGGACAATATGGCCTGAGGATGACAGTCTAGGCTCTTCCCCTCACTCTGCCAATTATCAGCTGGTGACTTGGGGAAGTGACTTAACTTCTCTGTGCCTCAATTCCTCATTGGTAAAATTATGGTACTGATGTTGTTAGCTGTTGTTGAGTTGGCTCCTGACTCACAGTGACCCCACATAAAACAGAACAAAATACTGCCCAGTCCTGTGCCATCCCCATGATCATTTGTGGCTCAGATCATTTGTGATCCATAGGGTTTGCACTGGGTTGTTAAGTTACAGAGGGCTTGGATCAAATTCTGGCTGCTTTGGTTTCAAGTTGTATGAACTTAGACAGCTACTCACCTTGCCAAGCTTCTGTTTGCTCACAGTAAATTGGGGCTGTTACAGTCCTTCTAAACTTGTTTTAAGGATTAGAGGCAATTTTGTAAAACAAGTCACTACATCATAAAGGTTAAAAGCACAGGCTTTGGAGTCACAGATCTAAGTTCAAGTCCAAGCTCTTCTTCTTATTAGCAATGTGAATTTATGTTAAGTCCTTACTTACCATTTCCAAGCCCCTTGTCTACCTCTTAGGGTTAGTGTGCAGATTTAAAGAAAGAATTCTTAGTTCAGAGCTTTCCCATGTGAGTTTTCTATATGTAACTGTTAACAGCACAGAAAAAGCCCTGGTTGCACAATGGTTAAGCATTCAGCTCCTAACCTGAAGGTTGGCAGTTCAAACTCACCTAGTGGCTCTGTGGGAGAAAGACATGGCTATTTACTCCCATGAGACTCTTATTGCTCCTGTGTGCCATCAAGTCAATTCCAACTCAGATTATAGCCTAGAAAACCTTATGGGAGAGTTCTGCTCTGTTACATGGACTCTACATGAGCAGAAAATGACTGGATGGCTCCTGACAATATAGAAGTGGTAGCAGTTGCAAGTGCCTGACACAAGGGGGCGATCTATAAATGACCATTACTAATGAGGTACTTTCCCTGGAGGTGGCCATACTTAAGAAGTGGGCCTTCTCCTGTTTAGTTTTGCGAGTATAAACTCATTGAGAAAGGCTTTTTTCAGCCACTGCTAAGTCCAAACTCTCCTTTCTCTTCCTCTCCAGGTTTCCCTCTCCTCATTCTTACCACAGCCTTTCCTGCTGGGCAATCCAGTTGTTGAGAGAGTGACTTTCTGTTACTGCAGAGGGAATAAGGCTGCCTGTCTGTGGATGTTGCAGAGTTCTTGATCAAAGGAAAATCTATTTCTCCTGTGCAGTAGGGATTAACACCTAAATTGGGAGAAGAAGAAAAAAGATTATTTGTGCTCTTAGGATACAAAGTTCAGCTGAGAACAGTATCCCAAAACCAAACCCACTGTCACTGAGTCAATTCCAGCTCATAGCAACCCTACAGGACAGAGTACAACTGCCCATAGAGTTTCCAAGACTTTAGACCTTTACAGAAGTAGACTGCCTCATCTTTCTCCCAAGAAGCTGTTGGTGGGTTTAAACTGCTAACCTTTGAGTTAGCAGCCAAATGATTTAATCACTATACCACCAGAGCTCCTATGAGAACAATATCAGCCTCTCCCAACTACCAGCCCGTCATTAGCCTGGGGCCAGGTGAACATAAACTGCTTATCACTCAGTGCTGGGTGCATGGTAGGGAGAGGTGCAATGAGAGAAGTGGGCAGCAATTTCATTATCTACATATATGCTTTTAAAGTCCCTGGCTGGTACAAATGGTTAATGCACTCAGCTACTAAAGGAAAGGTTGTAGGTTCATTGACCAAAAGCACCTCAGAAGAGAGGCCTGGTCACCTACTTCTGAAAAAAAAATAGCCACTGAAAACCCTAAGGAGCACCATTCTGTTCTGACACACATGAGATTTGTGTGTGTGTGTGGTGTGTGTGTGTGTATTTTCATGCTTTCTACCCTGCAGTGTGCAGATAAGACTTTCATATCCTCCATTCAACTCAACAAATATGGCATTTCCTTCACATCAGACAGTGTACTGGATTCTCAGGAAGCCACAGTATTAAGTCAAATCCAATCCCTGTTGCCAGGGAATTTTCAATCCCAAGCAAGGACAGAAAGGAGATAGACATACAGGATTGCAGAACAGGAACAAACCAGAGGCCACATGAGAAGAAAGTTGGGACAGCGGCCAATACAACATCCAACCTCCCCAAAGACTTTGACTGCCTCTTATACACACAATACTCTCACACACAGGCACGCACATACCCCAAACACAGGTGCACAAAGAAATTACCTCTTGATTCTTTGGGACATCTATGAAAATGCAAAGTAATTAGCTCTCTCTTTTTGTGAGAATCCTAGACTTCATTTCATCTAACAAGGAACTGTATTTGACCTTTATAGCTAGAAGCATCTTCAGAGATTATCTGATCTCACCCTTCACTGTCTAGCACTGTTCAATTGAAATAACATGCAAGCCACATATGTAATTTAAAATTTTCTAGTCACCATATTGAAAAGTAAAAAAGAAAAAGGTGAGATTAATGTTAACAAGATATTTCATCTAAAAACCCCAAACCAAACCCATTGCTATCAAGTTGATTCTGACTCATAGTGACCCTATAGGACAGAGTGGAACTTCTCTATAGGGTTTCCAAGGCTGTAATATCACCAAAACAGACTGTCACATCTTTCTGCTTGGTGGGTTCAAACTGCCAATGTTCCAGTTCGCAGCTGAGTACTTTTACCATTGCACCACCAGGGCTCCTATATTTCATCTAATGTATCTAACTCATCATTTCAACATATAAGTTACACATAAAATAATGCTATCCTATTTTTTTGGTATGATTATACTTAGTCTTTGAATCCAGTGTATTTTATACTTATCGGAATCTCCATTTGCATAAGCCACATTTAAGTAATAAATAACTACATGTGGCTAAAACCAAAACCATGCCAATTTCTATCTATTCAACTCTGATTCGTGGCAACTCTATGTGTGTCAAAACAGAACTGTGCTCTGTAGGGTTTCCAATGGCTGCTTTTTTGCCTGGCCTTTCTTCTGAGGTGCTCTGGGTGGATTTGAACCTTCAGTCTTTCGGTTAGCAGCCAAGCACTTTAACCATTTGCACCACCCAGCGACTCCCATATGTGGCTAGTGGCTGCTCTATTAGTGCAGCTCAAGAGGGACAGAGAGGGGCATGGATTTCCTAATATTCCTCAACTCAAGTGAGTGGACAAGGCTTTTGAAGAAAATTCCCCAAGAGGAAGAAGCAAGACTGGGCGGTAGTTCAGAGAGGATGTGGGTTGGAGCAGAGTTTTGAGTTTCCTTTTATTCTTAAGATGAGAAAGACTTGAGCTTGTTTATAAGCTGAAGAGAGGAAGTCACTGGCCCAAGCAGGTTGATAAAGGAGGAGTGAAAGGGCACGCCAGAGAGTATGAGATCCCTTAAGGGTGAAGAGGAAAGGGACAACCATGGTGGGGAAAAGAGAGGCCTTGGCCCATCATGGCTCAGAGGGTAGCTGGGGAGACATCTCTCTCCCAGGACAGCTGTTTCAAGCCACTGCCACAGCTCAAGTAGGTGGTCCTCCTTGACTTACAGGGGTCAATTTCTCCCAGATGGACCAGGAGAGAGAGGAAGTCAGAGGGCTCAGAAAACCCCTATACAATGAAGGATGGACACAGAGTTACGGACAGCACTGGGGGATGAACTAGAGATCATTTAGTCCAAAGCATCCTGTGCATTATATGCACCTCGGGTGTTTTATAAAATTGCATATGTCATTGCCCTACCGAGACCTACTAAATCCATTTTACCAGTGATGGGCTCTGGGAATCTCTATTTTTATAAAGCTCCCAGATGTGATGCAACTATCATTAGTCCTTTGGGGACCCCTTAATCAAGTTCAACTCCGTATTTTTTCAGTGAGGAAATGGAGTCTCGAAGCATTCCAAAGCAGTGAATACAAGGGCCAGGGCCATACCCCAAGCCCTGCTGGATACCAGTCTCCTGCTCTCTCTGCTCCTGCACTTCACTGCTGCTATTGTTGTTATGTGCCATCGAGTCGAACCCGACTCATAGCGACCCCTCCTTGGGTTTCCGAGGCAGTATCACTGCAGAAGTAGATTGCCCCATCTTCCTTCCAAGGAGTGGCTGGTGGGTTTGAACCACCAGCCTTCTGGTTAGCAGTCAAGTGCCTTGGCCACTATGCTACCAAAGCTCCCAGTGACCTGCAATTTGAAGGAGGGCAGTGGGACGTGATTTGGGTTCAGAGGAAATAAAGGCAGGGCTTAGGGACAAGGAAACAGGTATGTCTCACACAGCAGATTCACCTCTGAGTCACTAGTAAGCCCATGGGAAGCAGCTCAGGCTCCTTTTCCCTCAGCTCCACTTCTGCTTTTAATTGACCCAGGCAACCCCCTGCATTTAGCGGTTGCTATTCGCCACTCCTCGGAAGGAAGGTTGGGCAATCCTACTTCCGTAGTGATACTGCCTCGGAAACCCAAGGAGGGGTCGCTATGAGTCGGGGCGACTCCATGGCACATAACAATAACAACAACAACATTCACACTGTGGTTTCAGATTGTTGGCCAGGCCCAGCATGCATACAGAACATGGTCTCTGAAGCTTTGATTGGTCCCAGCCCTCACCTATTCTTTCTGAAAATTACTCAAGAATGCACTCCAGCCAACCAGGAAATGCATAAAAATTATCACCTCGTATGTGTGTGTGTGTGTGTGTGTGTGTGTGTGTGTGTCAGGGGGGAGTTTGAAACCAGTTAAAGGTATAGCATTGAGTGAATCTGTTGAAAATAAGGTTACAAATCCAATACAAAAGCCAAAATAATTTTTGAAAAGGAAGCTATATATTATGATGATTATGCAATAATTACAATAATCATAACCAAAAAACAAACTCATTGCCATCGAGTCAATTCTGACTCATAGTGACACCCCTTGGGTTTCCGAGGTGGTGAAGAAATATTTAACTACACACTATGGAGAGGTACCCTTTTCTAGCTTTCCATAGGCAAGTGTGTCAGTCAAGATTTTGGCAAGAAACAGAAGACACACTCAGCTGGTATACTGAGAAGTATCTAATGAAAGAAGCGTTTACAGAGAGGTGGACAGGGTTAAGAGACACAACAAGGGCTATTTAAGAATTTAGGAACCTAAGAACAAGCGTCAACAGGAAGTTGAGGAGGAAATGATGTTACCAGAACTCAGAAAGAGATGAAACTGTGGAAGACAGGCCATCTTGACATGACTTATGGCCACAGAGAAACATAGCCACTGCCAGAACTGTAAGCACTGAGAGAGGGAACAAAAAAAGAAAAAAACTCACTGCCATCAAGTCAATTCTGATTCACAGCAACCCCCTTTGGGAGAAAGGGAACAGGAGAAGAAATACCTCAGCACCTCTCTCCTCATAACCCTCAATCTCCTGCTGATGTCTCCCATTGGCTAAACTCAACCAGAAACCAGAGGGCCAGGGAGACCAGGTGATGCTAAATGCAGCAAGCAGAGCTGACTTCATAGGTTAGTGATTTATGCAATCACACCAAACCAAAAACCAAACCAACTGCCATTGAGTTGATTCCCATTCATAGCAACCCTATAGTACAGAACTATAGGGTTTCTGAGGCTGTAAATCTTTATGAAAGCAGACTGTCTCATCTTTCTCCTGTAGAGCAGCTGGTCAGTTTGAACTGCTGACCTTTTCATTAGCAGCCCAATGCTTTAACCACTGCATCACCAGAGCTCCTATGCAGTCACACAGGGTCCCAAAATTAGAAGGATCTTGGGTTTACTTTAATGCTCTGCTATTGCCATTTTGAAATTCCTAACAATTTTTGAACAGAAGGCCTCATATATTCATTTTGCATTGAGATCTGCAAATTATGTAGCCAGTCCTGGGTGGTAAGCAGGGAAGGAAATAGCAGAGAATACATGATAGAGGAAGACACATAGAAAAACCTGACAGTAAGTCTTTTCAATTATAATTCAGTATGTGCTTTGCTGGAAGTACTCACTCTTCTGCATCAAGTAATTTAGAAGACCTGGCCAATCAACTGGAAGAGATCCATATTTGTGCCCATTTTAAAGAAAGGTGATCCAACAGAATGCAGAAATTATTGAAGAATATCATTAATATCACATAAAGTATAATTTTGCTGAAGATAATTAAAAAATGGTTATAGTAGCATATTGATAGGAAACTGCTAGGAATTCAAGCCAAATGCAGAAGAGATATCATTACTGCTCTCAGATGGATCTGGGATGAAAGCAAAGAATACCAGAAAGA